CTGGGCAACAGTGGAGTAGAGTAAATATATGAAAAAGAATCTACTGTTCCACAGCAGTAAACCATGGAACTGTTGATTGATTAAGTGTCTTTTTAACATACAAATGTGCTGTTTTTCTATTAATTTTTTTCCAGACCAAATCAATAGCATGAATAGCTGTAATAAATAGTATTTATTTGCAACAGATCTCATTGAATAAAATTTTGCCACAGAAAAGATAACTTCTGAAGACTAAAATCTATGACGTCATCGACCATGGCGGTAGGTTCACTAGCTACTAAATTGGAGAAATCGTTGAAAGATCGTATGCTTTTTGTCACCATGACATCATCGATGGCAGGGGACATTTCCGAGAATGACTTTCTATTAGGCTCAGTTGAGAATAAACATAAAAAAACCACAAAACGTCACTAGAAACCGTAAACGCAACGGTATTTCTGGCACAAAAAAGCGTGTTTTTAGTAAAGATTGCTTAAAAAGTCTCAAATATTCTGACTTTTTACAAGAAGTTCGCCATGATCAGAGTTGCCAGATACTCAGGTCAGAAATGCGGAATAAAAATTCCAAAATGAGAAAAATTTTTGTCAGATGAGGAAAAAAATGGAAACGCATTTTCATGGCCTAACTTCAATCGTTTTCGCGTATTTTCTGCTATTGATGATTTTTCCCTGTTGATATATGATTTAAAAAATTTTTCTGTGAAATCAACGCCATCTGCAAACATGCACAAATTAGTTTCGCCTATGTTTTCGATTTCGTGCAGTAATTCATACGTCGAAAGTTACATTTCTATTTTTTGTTCCCTTGTATTGAGTAAACCCACAAAGTGCTAGAGAAAACATTTTTTTGATTCTCTGCGCGCAAAAACGGTTGAAGTTAGGCCATGAAAATGACTCAAGAGAGATTAGTTTTTTCCATCCTATATGTAATCTCACATTTCAAAAACCGTACTTTTTTTCTTCCGATGCTAGCTGTGATTTTTCTCCCTTCCTAATAAATCAACTTCTTACTCCCGACCACTTCTTTGATCCACGCAAGACAAGGAGCGAAAGACATGTGTTCGGTACCGTCAAATGACTTAACAGGAGAGCATAAGTTAATTAATTTAGAGATCGCTTGAGCGAGAAAATGAAAAAGGCAGTTGTTTGACTATTTAAATTAGCTAACTTGTGGTCTGTGAACTGCGCTTCACAGACGCCTCCATGTCTTGGGTTCCGCTCCCACCTTCATTGAGCAGCAGCATTTTCAATCAGCATCACTGTGTGTCATCGCTTCAAACATAGTTACGTTCTTACCTTTCCTAGGTAATTATCAAGATTGATTAACTTGATAAATGTTTGAGTTGGAACAAGACAAGGAAAGAAGAGGAAGTTATTATTCATACAACATGCTTCGACAAGGCAAAACACTTTCGCGTATGGTTACGCTTATTTGACCATGGTGAAAGTAATTACCAATTTTGATCGACTCGCTACCCAGACGATATAGTGCCAAAATCACCGAAAAATGCTGCACTGTTGCTAAATTAAAAAGTCTAATGTATAGGTATTGCTTTTGACTGAGGCTATCAATTAGCAGAGCTGATCCGAGGAAGGGTGGCTGCAAAGCTCATGTCGGGCTGCTTCGAATCTTGCGAAGCGACGCAGTATTGAAATTGTTCGGAGAACACTCTGTCAACGTGATGAGCTTTCGATTTTGTATGCATGTTTCAGATGTAGTTTCCTTCTACAAAGATTTATAAGTTCAAAACGATGTTTAACTTCTATTCTTTCTTCCTAACAACCGTGAAATTTTAATATAAGAAATAGAATATGAAACACAGACATTTTCTTTTGCTCACTAATTGGAAGTCTAAAAGAAAAGAGTAAAAAGTGTTTTTTTAAATGATTCTTTCTGGCAAAGAGTGAGTAATGTAATCATTACAAGCAACATCCAATATTTTCAGAGTAACGTATTTATATACTTGGTAACTTTCAAAGAGATATGCAGAGCAGGAAAGTTGAATCAACGATTTATGATACTGAGCCACGAAATCTGGAGGACCTGATGGTTATATGGATGGACGACACATCGACGCTCTTTAATCAGTGGAAGCTTGAGTCCATACAGATGCGCTCAAGACTTTTCATAGAGTATCTATATTCGTTCGAGGAAAAGAATTTTAAAAGAGAAAAATATCTAAACCAACGAAATTTTAACTTGTTCCACTCGTCTTGACTTTGAAACGCTAGACATCAGTATTGAATATAAAGAAAAGAGAATAATATATCCTGTAGACATCAGTGTCATCAATCTTTTTTGATTATTTCAAGTAAAATCTCCACGCCTCCGTTTGCCATGCATCGGAGGTAGCGCGCGGTCCACGCAGTTATAAACTATGCAAAAATCTTCGATAAGTTAGTAGAAGTCGCTGAATATCACAACCAAAACAAGAGAAAACTAGTATTTCTCATTGCATGTTTGTAGGATGCGACTACAACTACATCTCTGAAAGTACACTGTCCTATGCAGAATTGAACGGGCTTTCCAATGATGTGTATTTAGAGGGGTTTGGTTGACTCTGAGAGCTTCCGGACCTCTGAAAATGGAAACCCTCTGGACTTCCAGAGACGCTATCTCGAGAACGCCAAGGTGAGCTATGGGTTGAGAGGTGATTCTAGTAGAACTCGAGGCGTAGAATCCGAATATCACTCTCCGAACTTCCAAAAGTGATCGAAACATTTTCAAAAACAATTTTCAAAATCCTCCTATTTTTGACTAAATCTCTGGCCGGGTATGACAGGAAAGCATTAGAGACTTTATTCTTGCGTCAAAATTCTTCGAATCAGGCCTTCTATGTATGGTAAAATATTCTGCTCGATCGGGTTTGTTTTTCCCAAAACCAGTTTCCAGAAACCCCGAAATTTTCAAATTTGTATGAAGGGGTTTGCAAGTAGGTAAACTTTTGGAAACAACGTTCCTAGACTCAGAATTTGACGCTCTTTCCGATGAGATGGAACTCGAACAATGCGGTAGGTCTTCTGTATATCGTGGTATTTACGCTATGGAACACGCCTGTGCGCGGGCGTTTCTGATGCAGATGGCGTGCATCGTTCTTCTACTAATGGGTCTTGGTCATCGTCTCTCGGTATGTCGGTTTGAAGTCTGAATCTGTGGAGATTTCAGCTGTGAAAGATGTGGGGGAGAATTTGACATTTCCGGACCTTCAAACAGCCGGCAAGGATCGGCTAAACGTACAGCACCAGAGGATTGATAATGAGATTGAACTGCTAGACTCGTTTTCTGTAGTAACATGTTCATATCCGTAAAATAGTTTGGAGCAAAGTTTGTCCGATCTTCCTTTTCATATAAAAATATTGATAGAATATTACGCTATGGTCCAAAGTAGTGTGCGGAACCAGATAGGACATCTACAACATCCTTCACCTTCTCGTTGCAGGCAATGAGAAATACTAGTTTTCTCTTGTTTTGATTGTGATATTCAGCGACTTCTGCTAACTTATCGCAGATTTTTGCATAGTTTATAACTGCTCGGACCTCGACCTCGCGCTTTCACTGATTAATGAGCGTCGGTGTGTCGTCCATCCACATAACCATCACGTCCTCCAGATTTCGTGGCTCAGTATTATAAATCGTTGATTCAGCTTTCCTGCTCTGCATACCTCTTTGAAAGTTACCAAGTGTATAAATAGATCTTCTGTATATCGTGGTAGGAACAGTTGCTCCCTTAAAAAAATCCTGTTTACGCCACTGGTTGAAATATTGTCATGAATTTTGTTCGTAAAAACACCCAAAGAGGTCTATCAGTAAAAATAATTGCAGATATTCTGTTATTTGATGGAATAATAAAACCATATCTGTGAATGGCATTACGAGCATAAAAATAAACAATATCTGGCGCATGTTGATGAAGTGATTTCGTTGTATCTTAGTTGAGAAAAGTAGTTTTGTTTGTATTTTTCCATTTCCCAACTGAGATACCCAATTAAACAAGTATCTTGGTTGAAAATTAAAAATGTATCTCAGTTGGTACGTAGCCAGATTCGGAATTAATTTTTCACTCACTTTCTTTCTCGATTTGTCAGCAAGTGGAATAAATTCTCGAAAGAACTGCAACTTGTACATCATTATCTGTACTTAAAAATGCATTGTCGAAGTTCGCAAACAAATTAAATACTTTTTGAATGTACGGAATAGATTGTAAATATGATCAGATTTACTTTCAATTACGATGCGGTTTTTCAGATCTTAATCGCCAACTTTTTCAGAAAAAAATGACATCTGACAATCTCTGTTCTTGCGGAATGACTGAAACCGTGTAGTATTTTCTATTCCATTGCCATCTTTATGCTACTTGTAGAGCTGCACCGTTCTCAATGTCATGAAAACCGACCATTAACTTGAAAACACTTTTGTTAAAAGATAAATTTTCCGTCATATATCTTTCTGTAATTGAGTTTATATGAGAGACATATTGCTCTCATAACTAATACACACACGCACACATATATATATTCCTATCTTGTATCTGTTGTCTCTTATTACCTTCATCGTTTTGTTCTTTATCCTATTTTTTGCCTTTTTTTGGTCGTAGCAAGTTTCTAAATCAAGAAGTTTTTCTACCTAATAATTTTTAATAATTGTTTCACGTTTTCTTGACTCATCCACAATTAATTAACTAAGCGACTATCAGGAAATAATTTTATAACGAGTGGCCCATAACAAATGAGCCACTTGTGTTCTTTGTTTTTGAGACACTTTCCAGCATAGGCGGCGGAATAGGAGGTGCTGGGTGTGCTCAGAAAGGTTCGAAAAATCTCTTCAAGTACCGGAAACGTTGTTATTTCTACCGCGGAAATGAGGGTAAGATCTATGGATTAATATGAGCTATAAGTTATTTTGATCCGATATTCAGTTTGTAATATATTTAAGTCTTAATAAGTGGGACCTCACAGATCCCACTCACTCGTTTAATTCAAAACTATTTGTTAAAAGTTGAGTCAATGCTCACATAACGAAAATGGTCTTTCAAATAGTAACTCATTATTTTTTGAAATAAAATATTTTCTTTCATCCATTAGTTTCTCACGATGTTGTTTAGCTTGATTCATATTCATTGGAAAATCAACATAATTCATTATCTTATCCACAACTACCAATGGTAATTCATTAAATGGAGGTATGGAACGTATAATATTTACAAGCCAATGAGATTGTTGTGGTGGAACATTGGCAGTAGATAATATACGAACAGATGGATCAACCAAGAAAAACACTAAAATTTTACGTTGACCTGATTTAGTTAAATCTTTCAATTGAAATGGTGCAATACGATGTTGATAAATATTTGGAAATGCAATACAACGATTTTCTTGAGTAATTAATTCACCTAACGGTTGATTTAAGGGTTGTTCATCATTTAAACCATAAACAGTTTCTACACCACGATTATCATTTTGTTCATAATTTGGTTCCTGTATAACAGTTCGAAATTCTAAATTTGATTCTGTTATATTTGAATTAAAATAATAATAAATACCGGTTGAAACAATTTGTTCATTTTTCATTCCTTCAACGTGCCAAACACCACCAGAATATTTCGGATTTTCTGGTGTCAATTCAATATTAGCTAATTTAACAATAACTTGTAATTTTCTTCCACGTAAATCAATAACTTCTGTTACTGGTGGTATTGACGACGATATCTGAAATTCTCCGACATCAGGTATAGTAATTGGTCTAGTATCACGTTCATCATCATCATCATCATCATTATCATCATCGTCTTCACGATCAACTGAATTTGAATCGCCATACCATCGGAAAGGATCTACAGAGATTCGATTCGATTTATTTTGATAATGAATTAAATCGGTTAAAACTTTATTAAATAGAGGTATAAATTGTTCAAATATTTGTTTAATGACTCTATAGAGTTCTTTATTATCAATTGGATGTAAATTATTAATATATGATTCAATTGTAACTTTACCATCTTTTGAAACATTAAATTCAGCTGGTAACCATTGATATACATTTGATAGAGTATAATTAGATCCTAGTCTACTTCGTTTATTCTCTGATGATAAATCTGTAGGATTGATATTAATAATTTTACCATCACCAATATGCTCTAAAGCATTATCTACATTAATAATAACATTTTTATCATTAATAATTCTTGTAATTTGATTAACAAAACAAAATAATGATGGATGAACTAAATCTAATATTTGTTTATTTGTACCAGGATGCCAATCTTTTTCACTTTCTGGTATATTTTCTAATTTGTTTACACATATAATTAATGATTTTTTAATATGAATGGGTATTAATTCATCACTTTGCCATACACCATCTATAGAAGACATTTCCATACTTCCATCTCTTATAGAATTATAATATTCTAATTCAGCTAGTACATAATTTATTTGTTTTTCTGTAAGCAAACCTTGTTCTAAAGCTTCTTGTTTCCATTTATTTCGTATTGTTTCATCTTTATTTTTTTCATACCATTTTGACTTAGTTCGAATACTCCCACTCAAACGCATCATCGTTAATTCAACTAATGTTTTAGGATCACATCCTGCACCATATTCACCTTCATAAAATGGATGAGGAAATGGTTTCAAATCAGTATTTTTATTTGTTAAATCAATGTTTAATACTGTTTCAGTTTTGGATGCTATATTATTTCTCTTGCGTGAAGACATTTTCTAAAAAGGTTAAAAAGCAAAATTTGTGTTTTTTTTTTATAAAATTTGTACTGCACTTTCTTCAAGAAGCACATCAACAAAAAACGAATGACAAAGTCGAACATACGAGTGAAAAAAACGCGAGATAACTGAGATAAAATTGTACATTGTACTATCCCTTGACTATTTCTATGATAATAAATAAGATAAATGAATTCTGTGTACATACTATAACACAAAGACACACCATCATCTATAATCCTGTAAATAACTGTCCTCAGCGTGATATATAAAGAAAGAAAACTGATTATTGTAACATTCTAAGAAGATAAACACACTGATGACGAAGACAGACAGTATACGCACAATGAAACGTGTGTGGAACGAAATAAAAATACAGACCCATATCAGTGGAAAGCTGGTATTCCACCGACAGTTTGAAAAAAAAGAGGATCTATTGTTTGAAAGAAAAGAGGATTTTGAAAAAAAAAAGAGGAAAAGAGGAGTTCGGTTTTTTCAGGCGAAAAACGCTAACAAATATCCTCGCAAGTGTAGAAGCATGTAACGATGGCATTATATTCACGTTAGAATCATAAGACATGAGCCGAATCGAAGAAAAAGTAAAATAAAGAATGATGCATGATAGTTGGTGATAGTTCTTGAAACAAAAGACTACATAGGTTTAGGAGAACAGGGTGTGAAAACGTCCGGGACGAACTTAGTCCGTACTGCTAGCAGACATCAGAACAATGGCCCGGTGTCAAATCTACATGGATATACTCACTTTTTGATGCTGAACCTGAATAAAATAGTTTTCAAAAACTAGAATGGACGGAAAACGGTCAATTTTGATTTTTTTCTATAACGCTCATTTTTTGTGACTGTTGCTGTATTTCGAAAATTTCTCCCCAAAAACTTGATCAATACTCGATGAAAAAGGCGATATTCGGAATCAACTCGACGAGCACTATCCAACCATGTATGTTTTGAGGAAATCTATTTTTTTGCTTATCGTTCGAATTTGGAGCACCTTACGTCTGTTTACATGTGTGTACGCGTGATCTTTTAAATCTACTGGCTGTGGTCCATTTTTTCGTGTTTCTATTTTCATTCTCTTTTTTTCATTTCGTCTGTTTCGTTTATGTTTTGTTTTTTTTCGGCTAGTTGTGATCACTATTATTCTATAATAATATTCTGTCCATGCAATCTTTAATAAAGATTGCATCATCTTTAGCTATCTCAGCCTATTTTTTTCTTTTTTCTTTTATGTCACATATCTTTGTTATTTTGGATATATATATGTGAAAGCGTACATTCAGATATAGTCAGTTCGAGTGCATACAGAATACAGAGTTAGTAAGTGGTTGGACCAGTTAGTGGCCTCCTTACTTCATGTTATTCCTGCATATGTATTTTACCATTATTTTTAAATATACTACATAGATTGGATAGGCACTTTGTTTAATCCAGGTTGCTGAGATAGTTTCTTGTCTCATCTGATTGAAGAACCCGAGCTTAACTACTAGTAGAAGTCAAGAGTAAAAATAAGTGATGACATGAACCACCGGATGAACCAACAATAACGAATTTGTTCGTCAATAGGTACTGTGTTTGAGGAAAAAGAGGATTTATAGAAAGAAAGAGGAAAAAGAGGCGGAGTGGGAGGCCAGGTGGAAAGGATAATATATGTGCATATTTCGAGAACTCGAAAACTCATACAGGAGGTTAGTTCTATTTACATCAACTATGTTCATTGAATGAAATACTATAATCAAATAGTAAAACCTATACTATATACAAAAGTAGTAGTGTGGTAGGATGACAGTTTATTATGTAATTATTATAAATACACTTCTCATCTTGTTAACGCACAGTGAGCAACGACGTGGACTTAAAGGAAAAAAACGAAAGTACACTATTTCAAGATTTGAACAGCAGACCTTCAACTGCCACGGGAAGTTTTTTTCTAAGTGCCATCTTAGGTAAGAAAATCTTTATGAAAGTTTTTCTGTAAAACCAGATCTATGCACACGGAAATATTGTTTCTCGCGAAACCGAATATGATAATCTCAACAATTATACACAATTCGAAAGTAGACCTCAAACTCTATTTATTCGTTAAAAAGAAATTTTCCCAGTTTTTGGAACCGAGAAATATTTCTTCTTCCGCTAAGTGTTTTCCGAAAACGTGTGTCCAGTAAAATCAGGTTTTCATTGTTTTCCAAGCTCCAAACTTAATGGAAATTTCAGGTATTCTACTTTTATATATAAAACATCTACAGAAGATAGCACAAAGATGCAAAAATGCTCTAAGCTGAGATATAGATTTTCCAAAAACTCTTAGATTTTCGAGGGTTTTAATCTTTTCCCCCGCTTATAAGTAGTTCTTTTCTTACAAAAGTAACTACATATTCGGGCTGAGCGTAAAACTTGCGTCGAAGGATATGTCAGTTGTATGTTCTAATGCGCAAAAAATCGTTCAGTTTAATGAAATGACAAATTTGCAGGATTTCCGTAGCATTTTTGGCTGGGCACGTGAACATGTGCCATAAAACTGATACGAAAGCCTCTAAATACTATTTTTATAAGTTTTCGTATGTAGTCTTTCCAATGGTATGGTTTATAAGTTCAAAAATGTTTTTATCATGGTTTTTGTAAAGATCCAGCCCCTGGAAAACCCGACTAAAGGTGTTTTTGAACTTTGTGAATCCCACCATTGAAAAGAGTATATACGAAAACCTATAAAAATAGTATTTAAAGGCTTTCGTATCACTTCTACGGTATATATCCACGTGCCTAGTCAAAATTAGCCACTGTGTAACGACAGAGGCTGTTTGGTACGAATATTAAGAAGTAATTTGAACGGGATTCATACTTTCAATGAATTCAGTTCTGTCGACTGTTAAATAAAATGATTTATCGTCATTTGTTTAATGATGCAACCTAACATATAGCAGTAATCAGAAATAGTACGGAAGAGTACAGATAAAACAACATATAAGATGAAAAACTGAAGGAAAAGGAAGAGCAAAATGTGTTATGTGTGTAGAGAGAATAATACTACGATTAATTCTGCTCATAATTTTCTCTATCAGGACTTACCTATTATGAGACAGAAATATCATTTTCGAAATCACGGTCAAAAACTGAGTAGACTAATGTGTATTTCTATTCTATTGTTGTATTTATATACCTACTTTAGTTTTTGTTGTCGAATTTTCACGTTGAAAAATTATCGAGAATTTCACCAAAATGTCGAAATACACTATCTATCTATGTGGGCAAAATATGGAAAAATGATTGTCAGATATTCTATGGATATGCCAATCACAAGAGAGAAAAATAGAAACTTTTTTTTTACTACGAAAGAGAAAATATTAGAAGAGATGATCTGAAATATCTATTGATATAAATAGAAAAAAAGCTACTCAGACCTTTTTGTAGTCCTAAGATAGATATCGCCAGAAATCAGTCTAAATTTGATAACACAAAAATAATTGTCTACGGATAATAAAATTTACAGAATATACATAATCTATTATAGCGAATTGATGACAAATACTTGCAGCGCCTTGGGATCTTTCCATGTTGTCCGGCATACTTTTTAGCTTTATATTACACTGCGCGCTTCTTGCGTGGAATCAGAGAAATTCATAAGATTTTTTAACCTGTCTACGAACCACCAACAAAGGAAGGCATAAGCACTGTTTTGAATGTATGAATATTTTTAGATCTCTTCGGATTTTCGGAGGGTCTCGAGAAAATCTTTTAGATTTACATTATATTACGAAGCTCACCTTGTTTCTCACTGATGAAAGCCAGTTACATAATTCTTTTTTTCCATCATTGAATAGAGTCATACTATATCTCATAATGAGAAGTGATTGTGCTTCTAGGAAATATATTTAAAACATCCTTTTCATTATTTTAGACGAACCGATAAAAGAATATTATTGTTTTCGACAAAAAAGCAACTGAATATCCTCGAAATAACAGATTGTCTTTTTATGGATGGTACTTTTGACGTAGTATCTGATATATATTTTCAGCTTTACACCATTCACGCGAACCATGTCGATCAAGTGGTGCCAATTGGTATGCTTTATTGCCTAGTAAATAAATAAATAAATAAATAAATAAACAGAAAGAAAAGGAAGTCACCATTCTATCGTCTGTTGGCCAGTCTTCTGACTAAGAGATACCTGAGAAAAAGCGTCTGTCAGTTATCCCAGTCCTTATCCACTGGTAGGAGAAAAAAAAGGGGTGCACGAGCTAGCTATTCTTTTACCAAATTTGTTTATTGAATTTTTGACGAACGGACAATCCTAGTCACAGATTTTTATAAAGGAATCAGACAAGAATCATACTGAAAATTTATATGGATCCTATAAGATTCAGGTAAGAATCTTATCACACTCTTACAAGATTCGTATATAGGAAAACTAGAAAGTGCCACGAATTTCGTAAGAGTCTTATAAGAAATTGATAAGAGATCTGTAAGAACTTGATAAGAAACAGCTAAGCATTCTGGTGTTATTCTTATCTATTTCTTATGAACATCTTATCTGGAAAAGCTGCTCCACATGTTGACAGACGAGGAGAACAATTTTTTTCTTTTTTCCATGATGACACCTTGGTTCTCGAAAGGTAGCTTCACGATTCGTTCTGAGCCTCTACTGCCTGTAGAGTGGCGGTACTTGTCACTGCAGGATGAGAATAAAGTTCGAAAAAATTAAATTATATACGAAGAAAATTGAGAGCACGATATCTCGCATGTTTAAATAAATTCCGCTTTTTCAAACAGATCTTTAAGTAAAATACGAAGTTTTCAATCTTTTTTCCTCTATAAAGGTGACATTCAATTCGGACTCTCTAAGTGGTAGAAGATGGAGCAGCTCGAGTACTAGTAATATGCATCAAAATCCTTTAAAGGGTGACCCGGAATTCCTGATTCGATTTGAATGATTAGTTTTTCTTTAGTAAAATACATGATTAAAAATGTGTCTCTAGTGTGAAAAGATGCAGCAGAACACGCTCTACGAAATGGCGCTTGATTGACTATTCTACCTCATATAATGAGAAAGTTACAAGCCCAAACATGCTCCACGGAAAATAAAAATTAACCGTGATTTTGATCTCGGTATTTTACTCTAAGTTCTGTTACTTAGATTTATCAGAACAAGTGCCTGTTTTAAATCGAAGCGCTGAAAAATGCTCTTCAAAATCATACTTAAACTTTACTTCTAGAACTTCGATTAAGAAAAACGTAGCAAATTATACGCGAGACAAAAACTAAGAACTTCATGAATTTAGTTGTCTTTTACTTGAAATTTGGCTTTTCTTAATATTTCTGTTCGACAGGGTATGAAAGTGAGTACTCATTGGTATTCGGTACTTTTAAATTTACTCTTTCTTGTGGTCTCTAAAATATCTGCTTTATAGAAGATGGTGTGTTTGAGATTCAAGTTTCAGGAATACGTCGAGAATTGACACTCTGATTTTCGGCAATGTACTCAGCAAAAAAAGAAAAGGTGATCGATGTTTTGATGTTGCAGCTAGTTAGAGGAGTGCAATTATTTCTGATCAAAACCAAACAAACCTGATTGGCAAATCTTCTGTTTTGATGCAGCTACGAGATTTTTATAGGAAGAACCATCATAGAAATCGGGTTCACGGTTAATTTTTATTTTCCGTGGAGCATGTTTCGGCTTGTAACTTTCTCACTATATGAGGTAGAATGGTTAATCAAGCGCCATTTCGTAGAGGAGCGTGTTCTGCTGCACCTTTGCACACTAGAGACACATTTTTAATCATGTATTTTACTAAAGAAAAACTAATCATTCGAATCGAGCCAGGACTTCTGGGCCACCCTTTATATACCTTCCTGATAAAGCACTAGGAGCTATCACAAAAGAACTTTTTGTATAGTACTCACATGAGTCACCATCAGATAGCAAGTTATTACACTCATTGCTACACATCAAGATAAATAAGAATAACGTGAAAAATCTTATCACTTTCTTATGAAGTTCTTACAACTCTTATCTGATTCTAATAAGACTCGTACGAAATTCGTGGTACTTTCGAGCGTTTTTCTATATAAGATTATTGTAAGATTCGGATAAGATTTTCATAAGAATTTTCAAAAATGTTTTGTCTAGAGGGAAGATGATCATCAACCAGATCGGATGATCAAACAACTGGCTTTCATACTATTATCCATTTTGAATATATAGTGCACTCTATCATTTTTGAATAACGTTTGATGGAAAAGAGATAGAGACCTGCGGTTTTCTCCATTCGATAAAGTGCGGTAAGGGACATTGATCTATGAAAAAAGAAAACGATTTTCATCTATCATCGTTCTAGGATGGCAAAAGTTTTCCAGAGACATCCGCAATTCATTACCATTACGTCTGATATTTTAAGAAAGAAATGCAAACATAGACTATCGATCATACTGGATCTCGTGACAAAGTGTGTTTATTGAGTAAAATTCAAAAAACCTAGTGAAAACCTGTACTAAGTGAAACTATCCATTTTACTAGTAAAATGTGATTAACTGAGAATTTCTCTAACAACTTCAAAACTGGCTTAGCTTGAGCGTCAGGCTTAGTGAATATAACTAGCTGGAGTTTGCACTCGCTCTGATGTTAGACAGGCACACCTCGAAAAAATCCAATTTTGGTAAAACTTGATTTGTACGACTTCTTGACTTTTTATTTCAAAAACAACTGTTGCTACCAGATTCAGCGGGGTCGATTAAGTATGTTCCACGAGATTTCGAAATTATCTCCAGTCACTAAGTACCAGTCCTTAACTAAAGTACAAGTTTCCAAAAGAGATTCTAGGAGATCTTCTTGGAAAAACGATTTTCAAAATCGTTCTGCTTATGAAAAGATTATTGAATCTGCTCTTTAAAATTGCGGAACGCACAGCTCTCTAGTAATTCTCTATACACCACTAGTTTGAAAATGGCCGATGCAGTATGCAAAGCTACGTTCATTTCGTGCTTTTCAATAGTTTTAGTTTAGAATAACCCCCATAATAGAAGACTATCCCCTATTAGAAGACCACTGCCGGTTATATGACTTGAAAGCCAAATAGAAGACCATGGTCTTCTAACTCCTAGAAGACCATTATTACCTATTATTCCCGCCCAAAAAATCGGAAAATGCCCTCCCCTATAGGGGAATTTTCAAAAAAATTTCGCTAAAATGTACTTCTAATAGGGGCTGGACTACAAGTCGAATAGAATACAAATATATATTAAAACAAAAACGTTTAGGTTCTCATCCACTAAGCCATTGCTTTTTGTTAAAAACATAATTTTGACGTGAATATAGTAGTTCTAACGAGGGAAGATTTCCAGGTGATAAATCGCTTTTTCAATGAAAATCATACGACTATAGGTAATTGATAGTGCTGATTCCGAATATAATAGTCGGAGCTGCCATTCGGCCTTTGGAGACCCGCTTTTTGAAAAACTGGTTTTCCGGAAACAAATGTTTTGTTTTTGAAAATAATTTCTAATCTTTCCGGATTGTAGAGCATGTCGAGTTACTTACGTAAATAAATTTTTAGGAGCATCGGGCAATTTGGATGCGAATCGTTTGAAATGATGATTAATTTTATCCGATTCTAATGGTTCTATTTCTGCTGGTTCTTTTGTATCCTGATTGAATTGAAGCGATGCTGTATGATGTTTCAATGACCGATGAGCCAATTGTAGTACTAGTTCAACGTTCTGGTCAAGTTGTCGAATGTACACCAATACAGGCTTATACGAGACAACTAAATCTGTTATCCCAGTTTGCTCCGCTGATGAACCAAATATTGTCAACGGGATATCTAAACCAACCGCTTGAATATGTTTATTTTGTATCTGCTGTAGTGACATTCGTCGTTGTTTTACCTTGATCAAGTTCGATTCGGCTTTCAGAATTGTTGTACATCGATGTATGTATCTAATACAACTCACCACAATTTGTAATGATCTGCCAATTTCAGCGTAGTGTCCACTTAATTGATTGAAGGAAATTCGCCATAGATCCGGTTCATTATTAGCTTCACGCAATAATGATGGAAAAGTTTCAAGTTGTTTTTCTGTTGTCGTTAATGACAGCATAATATCAAATTTTTGTTCTTGTTCATTACTTGCCGCGTTTTCTACAAATGCACAAAATTCATCAGTAGTAAATTTTAATGCATCACATACAGTTTTAATCATCTTTGCTAAGCGTTTTTTTGTTAGTGATCGAGCTGTCCTTGGTAGAACCAAATTCGATACTAATATATAAATAAATATGCCAATAAATGTTAAACTTGTACGTGCTAATGGGGCTTTTTGACTCTGTGGACCACCGTTATTAGATGAAATAAATGTAATAACGCTGGCCGATTGTGCGCATACATTTGCAAAATATGCCTTGTCCGCTTCACATCGAACATAAAACATTAAACCAACGAACAAACTGATTAAAATTCCGATTGCAATGAGATCTTGCGTAACAATCACAATGATATACGCATATGTTGAACCGAGTAGGACGCCCATCAAACGATGGTATGATGTTCTGAGAGCTCCACCCTCGCTCGTTTCCGCTATGAGAGCTGTTGTCATTGGGGCCCAATGTACCCAACCATATGCGTTAAGACGGTTCCTTAACGCAATGGTTATAACAGCAGTGCAGAGTACAGCAAAGCTTGTCTTTACCGCACGAAGCATTTTTCCAGTCGATGGTTTTAAACCAATATAATTAATTATATTTTCAAATTGTTTTTTAATATTCACGATCGTACAGCATTTTTCTTTTTTAACATCATCACTTTTATCATCAATCAAAACTTTAGCACCTGGAGTGTTCGTTAATTCAGCTGATGAAATAATAACATAAACTAATCGCAAGATTAACAATAGAAATGTGTTCATTTGAATCAAGGAACTATCAGATGGATTATCTTGAGAGATTAAACGTAGTTGCTTATCGTAATTTTGACAAAAGCGTTCCAATGCTTGATCAAGCTCAGCTCGACACTCTTTAATACGTCGTTCATCACAAGTGTTTTTGAAATAATTAATTGTTGCTGTATATGGTAAAGTGGCATCGAGAAAATTGAACGTAGTATCTATTAGTGTAGAAATTGATTCTATTAAACTAGGTGGAAATGTATAATGATGATGATCTAAATAGTCAAGTGCTAACATGCCCGATATTGTTCGATGTAATGAAACAAAACCACTGACCCATGTTTTCATACGTAATTCTAATGAAATTTGTTGCTGTTTTCTACATTTGCAGAATAATATTGAACAGATCGACGATAATATATAATAAGGTTCCCATTTTAATTCTGTTAACGTACGTTGCATATGTGGTAATTCATCTTTAACAATCGTATGTAAATCATTAATATCAACTTTTAACAAAGGAATATTTTCAACAGAACTGTACATTGAACTGAAACTACTGTCAGACGATGAAGTATTAATATGATTAATCGATAATAATATAGTGGTTAATTCGTGTCGAATCTGTTTGGCTACATATAGTAAACGTGTACTTAATTCACGATTTGCTGTTGCCGGCACAGGAAGAGGTATTAATGACGTACAAATAGCCATACCGCATCCAATTGATAATGATGCCCATATTTGTAATACAAATGAATTATTAATAGGCTTTTTCGGATTATACCATTGTAGGAGAACAATACAAGTTGCTACAATAGTAAAACGACGAATTTGAATTGGTAAATCGGTATAAACAATTAACAATACTAAAAGAGTTGTAGCTCCAACAGCATTAAACGTAGTCCGTGGCAAAACATTAATTATAAATAGACAGTAGACGGTTGCTAAAGCGCCAGCAATAAATAAACGTGTTGCCGATTGAATTGTAGCACCAATTGTAAACTGTAATGATGAAATAATAGTAACACCAATTAATAGTTCACCATATAATGATTTTGATGTTCGAGGAGTCAATGTAAATGCGGCACAACAACCAATAGCGATTAAACTTCGCAATACCATAATCAATTTAGCTGGAAATGATGGTATTAGCGGATGATACATTCTTCAATTACGTATACGATCTAAAATAATAAAACATTTCTGTTTGTGTATAATCAATGTGTTCGACTACATGACTTTTATGAGGGTATAATTTTTTTTCTTTTCTTTTCTGTACCAAAGCTCTGATTTGATTTCTTTAAACTTATTAAAAAAAAACAGCAGAAATTACAATGTCAGCCTTTATCATTTGAGTATATCTATGAAATTTAAATGACATTGTTGAGAATGTTTTTGTACTAAAATACAATACAAATACGGCTGTTTGATTACAAATACACCCTCACTATCCGATAAGAACATGAACAAATGTAATTTTCATTTTTATTTTTCTTCTCTTCTTTCTTTTTCTTTTTATTCTTGATACGTTAAGACTTATTAAATAATCGAACATGTGTGCATATTTCTTTTTTTCCAAACGCTAATCAACTACTTGTTTTATTCCACTGGTCAAAAAGACGTGTTCTAAATAAATACAAGAGAAGATATGAATGAAATATATCTAGGATTGCGATCATATTAAAAGATCTTTAAAGTTTTAGTCAACATTAACGGGATATAGAGAAATAGAGATAGATATAAATAATTTTTGTGAATGTATAATAGTTTTGCTTTTCACACACAAACATATTTCAATAAAAAACCGAAAGTATGAGTGATTTTGCGGTTATTTTTCTTCCAAACTCAGCTAGTACTTGCTCTCTTGAAACAACAACCTTTTAGAGAGTGTGAAGGTTCATAGTTAGACACCAGAGCTGATCACCTGCATAATTTTTCACCCCTGCGCGATACCGCGCAGGGACAAAATAAAATTTTTCCGCGTTGCAGTTTGCAGGTTACCAAAAAAATCTTTTCTTCTGCACAGGCAGAGGCTGAGGGTGAAAAATTCTGCACTGCCCTGCCCTGCAGGTTGGCTGCAGGTGGACCCTAAGGCGAGGTATAACAATTTTTTTTCCCAGTGACCACTAT